TTTTTCATCCAAACAATATACCATATTCATGCATTTATTTACTTCGAGGGCTTTTTGTATTATTTTGAGAATTTCTAAGTTAGTAGCACAAGATTTAAGTATTTACAAAACAATCTATTGGATATTGTCATAGTTCTGTCCTAGATGCTATACATGTATAAGCAATCTGATTAAAATCAAATGTTACATGGCTTCGTTAACTTCGTACTACGCCTGAACATCGATGTTCAGGCGTAGTACGAAGTTAACGAAGCCATGTAACATTTGATTTTAATCAGATTGCTTATACATGTATAGCATCTAGGACAGAACTATGACAATATCCAATAGATTGTTTTGTAAATACTTAAATCTTGTGCTACTAACTTAGAAATTCTCAAAATAATACAAAAAGCCCTCGAAGTAAATAAATGCATGAATATGGTATATTGTTTGGATGAAAAAAAAATGCAATTGAATAAAAATGAATTGAATTGATAACATAGTTATCTAATTATTTTTTTCTCATGTCACCTTTTTACAATATATATAAAGTCTCATTGGAGTTAACTTTACTTTTTAAATATGTGCTGTATGCCTGTAATTTGACTTAAAATTCATATTAAATGATGAAAACCAAATTGCCCTCAAAAGCAGTCTGGGACATATTACACTGTGTACCCATGTGGTTGTATATAATGACTTACCTCCCCTTGTAGAAATCTTCTGTCAAGCAGACGTCTTTGACAGAAGTGCTTCTTCATCGCTTCGTAGACGTAACTGCTATCGTTTTATTTTGTGTTTTCCCTTGAAATGAATGACACAAAATGACGGCAAGGTAATATAAATTTCGAGTTGCACATCAACATCTAAATTGTTTGAATTCATACAGTCTCTTTAGAAGAATCTGAAATCGTTCTGTCACAGCAATATTGTTTCGTGTACCTCTGCAGTGCTAGTGGGCTTTTTGCCCAGTAATATAAGCTTAGGAGGAAACATGAATTCATTATGATTGTAAAAACTTCCCGTCTTTTAAGAGAACCATATTGGAAAAATAAATTAGTTGTATAATTTTACCCTAATAATTGTGTATTATAAGGTTTGTTTTCAATGCTTCAGCGGCCATTTTGACAATGTTTTCTGTCAATTTTTGTCCAGTGTTTCGACAAGAAAATTTAGATATATCGGTCAAAATGTCAAAGTCTAGTGTCTAGACGGGGTCATAGGAAACTCGGGCTAAAGTTATATCAGTGTTAAAAATTCTATAGACAATGATTTAATTTCAAATCATTACATCTATTTTTTGTAAGCTTGCCTTTACTAGCCACATAACCTTTTCTAATACCAGCATTTACTTTAGTGTACATCTTCAAAGATGAGGCAAATGATAAAAAATGTGGTTACAGGGACAAACACATTAAATTATTAATTTTCTTGTGTGTTCGGGTGATTGATATGTTTGCTGTGGCAAGAATAGCCTATACAATATACATGCAGGGCCATAGTAAATTGATATGAATGCAAAATCAAATATTGAATCTCATTATCTGAATTATATGAAATGACAAATTCTACAAAACGAAACAAGAAAAGTCCTGATGTTCCAGAAATAATGTAGTTATTTCTCAAAGTGAAATCAGCAGCTCTGAACATTTGGAAAATGGGAAATACATGTATTTGGAAAATAAAATTAGACGTCTCCTTATCCGAAATCAGAATAACAAGTGCTGTTTGTAAATAAAGGGACACATTTTCAATAATTTATATTATGAACATTTATGGGTTTTGAAAAGAGACTATATAGTGTCTTCCTAAACCTATACACTACAATTAATTATGGATGCTGTTTTGGATGAAGGGACATGCACAACTCTAATAATTTCTTAGCGTTACGGTTTGTTGTATACATTTCATAACTAGAATAGCATTTCAGAAATACTGGGACATACATTTATTGTGTTTTGTTTCCAACAATACACATTCAAGTGTTTTGTCTCATTTTGTAGAGTACAGATTCAATGATGTTTAGTTTCACACTTTACAGGGATCTGTGTAATATACTTTGATGAAAAAATACACCAGATCTACCAATAATATAAACTCTTCAATAAAATAATACAAAACAGATTTGATATAAACAAAGTGCGTTACCCCCATATTAATTTCTATATATAACAAATATGAAGAAACATTTCAACTAATACCACTGGCTGACAGGTCATCCTTTCCACCGACCTACGTCATTAAAGTATGTTTATAATGATTTTACAATTATGTTGCTTCAGCTTGAAAAGACCCAGGAGCCCAAATGCAGAGTGTGAAGACTGCTTGCCAATTTCGAAGAGGATTAACAGACTTCAAATAGAGTAATTAATAACCTGAAATATGAAAAACAAATGATTTTCTAATAGACAAACCCACAAAACATGTTTATAGTGCTTCTCTTGGTAGCAATGCACAGTTTAACATTATGGCTACATGCAAGTTTTGTTGATATTAAGTTCTTCGAGACTTGCTTGCACAAAGATAGTCATTAGAATAACAAAATGTGTCTTATTTCATATCTCAAAATGGACACCATCCATGAAAAAGAAATTTGCTGTGTTAAATGAAATGGTGAAAGACAGTTCCTGGCAATGACTGTTGTCTTAAAACTGTGTTCATGTCAAGGTATCCAAGACAATGCTACAGATTCAAGCATAAACAAGTAGATTGTATAACCTTATTATAAAAATCTTGATTTACATGTATATCAGTACTGCTATAGCTACCAGTAGTAATTATTATTACATATAATATTCTCCAAGATGGTTCCATGTCCTTCAATATATCTCTAACCAGTGACCTTCAATTGAAAAAAAAGAGGAGACAATTTGTATTAGTACTGGTTCTTCATTATTTATGTCAGTGATTACCTTCATCTTTTGGTCAAATGCAATTAGGTGAACATTTTTATTAATGTCTTGTCTATAAAATAGATGTTGTTTTAAGTCATGTAGAAGTATTTGACATCTCTATCACAATCTGTTCCATCATAGGTATATTATACAAGTTTTAGGTGTGGATGTATTGCAAAAGAAAAAAGAACTATGAAAAGTAATTGTACATGTATCAGCAACCTGAAGTTTTATGTTCTTGTGAACAATACTTGTATATTTCCAAATAAGTATAATATGTATTTTAAGTACTTAAATGAAGCTTTTTTTCTCTGAACAGGTCTGGTCAGCAATCATTCAGTCATGACTGCTGTGATCAAATGGTGAGTTTGATATAAAACATCTTCATTTTCTTGATAACTTTAGAGCTGTTGTTATTTTCTCATTAATTGATGTAACACTGCAATAAACAAAATATTACCATACCATGATGTGAAAATAAGACCAGAAGTTACATTTATTGTTTATTGCAGCGATATTTCATATTTTAACGACTTTTGGTTTTACATTTAAGTTTGACTATAAGATCCTGAAAGTGTATTAATCTGTTGACATTGTTGAGCTTTTTTGTACACTTTTTTTCTCTATATTTCAGAACAATAACATAGGAAGACCTAATGGAAATGTTCACCCAGACAACATCATCACACAGTGTCGCAAACTTCGCATTAACTCTGACCCTGTTAATCCAAGTCATCTCAGAAACAGTGCAGAGTTTCCTGGATGTTCTGGGTGTAGTCAGTCTATGGTAGAGAGCCAGTCTATGAACAAACTGCCCTTTGACATGAGTGAGGGTTATAACCCTGAACTAAGGGAAAAAGAAAATCCTATCTATTTCCAAATTAATCAAGTGCTTTTTGATGCTCACAAGGAGAGGGCAGAGAGGTCACAGACAAAGTTTCCAGATTAGTGTTTGGAAGTGGAATGAAGGGTTGAATGAATTAGATATGTGAAGCTTGGGACATGCTGAATGTGTACCTGATGCGTAAAAGTAACATGACACTAGCGTGTCACGGTTTGCTCACTTAAATGAAGGATGTATCGTTATGTCTAGAGCTTTTATGTTTATAATAACAATGTAGTGTGATTATACAGTACCTATCTTTGCCAAGGTGAAAATTACGCTTCCTTGCTTACACTTACATTTTAGGTCGACCAAGTCACTCATCTGACCTATAACTGCTGTAATTGCCATTTGTCCATCATTGTGGGTCGCTTCTCATGACTTCTCAATTTTTAAAAAGCATTTTATCAGAAACTGTCAATTTGATGAGACTTGCTGGTATCATTATCTTGTGGTGGGAATCACAATTTATACTCAAGAAGGGGTTATAAGGGGTCGTTATATAACTGGTAGGTTTAGATAAATTTTGTATGAAATCATTCTTTGATCACTATGCCCGCATTGGGGGAAACTTATCATACAGGGCTCTTACTTACACAAAGTTGAAGTTAAGTCAACAGTATATTTTTCAATGTGTTCCTTAGTTCCTATATTGATACCTGTTTTTGGTAACTCCTAACCAGTACTGTTTGTCATGTTACTAACCCCCCTCTTCATTTATACCTATCCTATTTATTTGGGAGTTGAGTACAAAAACAATGAATACTTGTTTGGCTTTATACAATGTTCATGTACTTACATTTCTAAAGCCTAGAGTCAGATATTTTTGAAAGCTTGTATGTAGTAATTTTGATTATGAACATATGGTATGCAAGCAAAAGATGTATTTAAATGTGGAAGTTGAATGGGAATGTGGAGAATATATCTTGAAATTAATAAACAATATATTACCTGGTTAATAGTCGATTGTATTGTGTACTTTTTGCTCACTTGTTCCGAAGGACCAGTGAGTTCATACCGTGGCGTGGTGTCCGTTGTCCATCCATCAACCTCTTCCTTAAAACTTGCTCCTTCCCAACAACAAGTTGGACGTCAACCAAATTTACAATGATGCAGCCTTGGAAAAGAATAATGTTTTCCCCCTCGGGGTTTGGGGCAGGACCCAAAATAGGTAATCTTTAAAAGACTTCTCCATATAGGGTTTTTGACATAGTTTGGCATTAAGTATCCTACAACAATGTTGTGACAAGAACAACAGACACTCACTTGACACTTTTCGTTTGATTATTAATCATTCACGGGTACTAATAAGGGGTCCCAGGTTTGTACTCTGTACCGAAATGACTCGATTCAGCTACACTTTATTCCATATGATATTAGTAATAAATCCCTAAGTTAGTTACATTCTGTTGCTTATCATCTCTTATGAGGAGAATGCACGCGCTTGTCTTATACTGTGTCACCTATAATTGCCAATTTTGTTATGGTAATACCTCATAGAATTTGAGAGTGAAGTTGGTCTTTTGAAGACGGATCATAGAGTTGTGGCCCTTAGTATGTATTTGATGCTGAATTTTGTCCAGAGGTACTTGGTGGATTGAGAGTTATGCCTCTTTGTTCAATTGTGATACCAATTTTTTCCCCCTAGAAATAGGAGACTGGATTGCTTGCAATACTTCGCCTTGTTTAGGCCATATTAGATCACACATAATATAGCACAATTTCTCTTGGAAGAAATATTTACTTGTGAAGAAAATAATCAACAATTTTAATGGATAAATTGTTCATTTTATTCCAACCTTCTTCAAACATATCACAAAATATTCTTAAAAGATAATGCACATCATAGTGTTAAAATGTTTTTGATTATCAATATAGAAATTTATCTAAATCCGCTTAAAAAAGTAATAAAGAGGAAAATCACCACATGTACATCAAATGTAGGAATATTTTTTCAGTGTATAAGATGATAACAAACTTCAGAGTACCATGAATGGTATATAATACACCCACTGCTGTTGCAGATTACTATAAATGAGAAGAGATTTAATAAAGAGCAGTAAAACCATCAGGAAATTGCATTGAAGGAATCAATATTGAATGAACTAACTTTGAATATATCTGTTACTCCTACAAATTAATGTTATCTCCAAGAGAATAAAGCTTTTCCAACCTTTGGATTGGAGGAGTTCAGATGTGTCATCAGGGGTGAATGAGTTAACTTTGATGAAGATTGAACCTTATATAGTTCTGACCTGTGATGTAATAATGATATTTGAAAAGTTTCATGAAATTCAAAGAAGAAATCATTAGCTAAACAGACTGACAGCACAAACCTTTAATGGTATTTTGATAAAGTAATATTAAAAGAAGGTGACTGCTGGTACTTTTTACCAATTAATACAACCCAATAAAGTTTGGTGAAGATGATTTTAGAAACGGTTAAGTCATGTCGAAGAAACTACCTCTGGTTAAACAATATAACCTCATGAAGTTTGATATAAAAAGGGAAGTAACAGAGCAAAAACAAAAGTGTTGATGGACATTATAACATATCCCGAAAAATATGTGTATATAAAACAGTTCTATTTAAAAGCAACAATATGTATTTATGTATAATGGACATTAAAAAGTAATGCTTCATTTTTTCTGTCTCTGAACAAAACAAGTACTTATACTTACATGTACATTATACTTCAAAAGTTATGATGAATCAAACATTTTTGTTTGCAGTATTTTGTAGTCAATTATGCACCTGAATGATGAGTATTTCTAGCATATATTTATTATAAAGTCACTTAGAAATTAAATATTGGTCAGCAAAGAACAACTTAAACCTATAACTACCTCGGTAAACACAGAATGACTAGCACACATAACTTATCTACTGGGCGGTTTTCTTTATGTATACACCCTGTTAAACATGTCGTATCAACCACCGTCTTCACATGTCCTTAGCTGTTGTGAGGATGCAACAATGGACTAATGGTAGAGAGTATTAACTACGGTAGATTTAAATGTGTCATGAACAAGTAGCACACAAAAGTTATGTTTTATCCAACAACAAACAATATAATAATTAAATTATTTTTATAAATATTGGTAAGGCACATACCGGAGAGCTGTGTGATATCTGTGATTTTGTGACCATTAGACTCGCTTCCCAACCCCCAGACACTAACATGCATGTATAGATCATTGTAAACATTCTATATTTACAGAAATATATACAAAAAAATGTTATTTGTTAAACTTTCACAGTTTTATGTTTATGAGCTCAAATATGAAATATTTCAGTCTAACTAAACAAAATTCTATTTACACTAACATTAAAACTTTTACAGTATAACTTAGGTCATGGCATATGTATATACTTATCAATAACATTTCCTTCAGTCAAACATTCTTTGAAAACATGACCATAATGAACTGTAATACGTAATCATTGCACTACTCAAGACCAGTGGGCATTATTGTTGACTGAAAAGAAAGTGTACCTACATATGCTGCTGTCTGCTTTATGGAAATGGAGCTACAAGGAAAGTAAACACAAGGAGTTCCCAAGGAAGTACAGCAACCCAGTAAATGCAGAGTCTAACCAATATCAGAGAAGCAGAAAATGTAGGTCACATCGACTTACTTTTGATATTGTTTTCTCATTAAAACTTGTATTTTGAGTATAAAAGTAAAATGCAAAGTTCAACTAAGTAGTACATACTGAGGGACCAATGAAAAAGGGAATCGCTTAAGACTACCTGTGTGCAAATAAGAGGTTCATCTCTACCAATCCTGGTACAAATCAACTTGGAAAATCTTAAAAAAAGAAGTAAAAAATGCCAATAAGAAGAAGTGTGTTCATGTCCTTTTAACCAAAAAATAACAACATCTGTTTACATTCAGGACTATGAGAAATAACAAATTTGCTTTGAACTGGACTAGAATAACTTGGAAAAGTCTACAAGAGGCACAATTAAGGGCCTTGCATCACTCACCTGGCTATTGGGGTTAAAATTTGCACATCTGCGCCCATGTTATTTTTTTGTGTTTTACGTCCTGTTAACAGATATGGTTATTTAAGGATGTGCCATGTTTTTGGTGTTGGAGAGAAGCTGGAGTACCCGGTGAATAAATCACTGACCTGCGGCCAGCTCCTGGCTTCTGCCCAACGTAGGCCGCGAACATGAGACCAAGTGGCTAGAGACTGTATGTATTGTTATGCATTTTATTCCTGTTTCCTGATTGTCAATATGAATCCACCTGTACCTTTTGTTCAAACATTAAATTTCCTTTGAATTTTAAATATTATTCCATGGCAACATATATACATGTGCATGCTCTTCCATGCTAATGCAAGGTATAGTTTAGTAAGCTTCTCCATAAAATATAGCTTGTAAACTTTTTTTAAAATTCATAAAGCTTTTTATAACAAAGTCATAAAGTATAATGTTTCTCGTCCCTCCGGAGAAGGACATCAGTATACATATTGGCACTGTTTGGAGAGACGACCAGAGGTTTTATCATCAGCCATTAGTACGTGCAGTGGATGGAAGGGGTGTAGGGGCGATGGTGGTGGTGGTTGTTGATGAAGACGAGTCAAAAACCTTTGCGCCATACAGGATCAGTAGCACTACTATTACCAGTACTACAAATATCACCCCACCTAGAATCATCATCATCTTGGTATTCTTCCACCAATATTTACGCCTCAACTTTGTAGCTGTTTTTTGGAATGTTTGAGCCTGAAAAGAGAATTAAATACAAACGTTTTATTTGTCTTAAGATAATTTTCATTCTACATTGTTATATCAATATACAAGTAGCTTCTAACAGGAGAAGCTCAGTTTGCTAATATTACACTTATAATGATTCTCATTAGTCTACCTCTACAGAATAATTTGGTCTTGATTTAGGGACTTTTAAACTTACACTGGCTTCAAGGTCATTGGTTTTGTCCACAAGGTCGTCTAGCCGCTCTCCCCTCTCTAAAACCTTCTCTATGTTCTGTGTCATGACATCCTTCACCTCATCGACCTGTGACCTCAGTACAGACAGATTGTCATTGGCCGGTTTTGAGAACTTTTCCTTTGGACAACACACAAAAACAAATCAATGAACATTACAATAACCAGTATATAGCAAACCTTTATCCCTACATAATTATTTATGTTATACTTCTATAAAGTGTAAGGATATGAAAGTACACTGTATCAATATTTAACAAAACTTTCATCTCAAATTAATCTTCAATTTCCCTACTGAGTTTTACAAATGACCAGTGAATAAGCTACATAATAAAGCCAACAAGCAAATTCGTGGAATTTATATCCCCCGCTTTCAGGACATACTGTAGGTAAACATTTTGAGGTTAGGTTTAAACATGAATTTATATCCCCCGCTTTCAGGACATACTGTAGGTAAACATTTTGAGATTAGGTTTAAACATGAATTTATATCCCCCGCTTTCAGGACATACTGTAGGTAAACATTTTGAGGTTAGGTTTAAACATGAATTTATATCCCCCGCTTTCAGGACATACTGTAGGTAAACATTTTGAGGTTAGGTTTAAACATGAATTTATATCCCCCGCTTTCAGGACATACTGTAGGTAAACATTTTGAGGTTAGGTTTAAACATGAATTTATATCCCCCGCTTTCAGGACATACTGTAGGTAAACATTTTGAGGTTAGGTTTAAACATGAATTTATATCCCCCGCTTTCAGGACATACTTTAGGTAAACATTATTGAGGTAAGGTTTAAACATGAATTTATATCCCCCGCTTTCAGGACATACTGTAGGTAAACATTATTGAGGTAAGGTTTAAACATGAATTTATATCCCCCGCTTTCAGAACATACTGTAGGTAAACATTATTGAGGTAAGGTTTAAACATGAATTTATATCCCCCGCTTTCAGGACATACTGTAGGTATAAACATTATTGAGGTAAGGTTTAAAAATGAATTTATATCCCCCACTTTCAGGACATATTGTAGGTAAACATTATTGAGGTTAGGTTTAAACATGTGAGTATCGTGCTGTTGAGACTTATTGTAAAGCTTGAAACTCGGAAGTAAAAAATGCCTTATATAATATTTGCTAGAGTTATTAAGCGGAAAACTGCAGATAATGACTCTGCCAAATGGAGTCCGATTATAGTGGTTGTCAAACTTGGTCGAGCCTTTCATGCATTGAACCCTGTTGCTAAGTTTGAAGACAATCGGATACTATTTGCGAGAGTTAATGAACAGAAACGGAAGATAATGATGTTTTTCGTTATTCAAGGGGCCATAACTCCGCCCAATGGGGTTCGCTGAAAGTGGTCATCAAATTTGGTTGAGCCCTTAAGACATTTAACCCTGGTACCAAGTTTGAAGAAAATAGTTTTCATTTGTTGTAGTAATTGCACGGAAACTAAGCGTGGCAGATAATGATGTTTTTCGTTATTCAAGGGGACATAACTCCGCCAAATGGGGTTCGCTGAAAGTGGTCATCAAACTTGGACGAGCCCTTAAGGCATTTCACCCTGTGACCAAGTTTGAAGAAAATGGGTTAACATGTGTTGTAGTTATTGCACGGAAACGAAGCGTGGCAGATAATGATGTTTTCCGTTATTCAAGGGGCCATAACTCCACCAAATGGGGTCTGCTGAAAGTGGTCATCAAACTTGTCAGATCCTTTAAGGCATTTAACCCTGTGACCAAGTTTGAAGAAAATAGGTTAACATTTATTGTAGTTATTGCACAGAAACGAAGCGCAGCAGATAATTACATTTTTCATTATTCAAGGGGCCACAACTCCCCCAAATGGGGTCTGCTGAAAGAAGTCATCAAACTTGGCCGAGCCCTTAAGGTATTTAACCCTGAGCCTTGTGTTAATATGAATTATTTTGTGTTGATTTTTTCATTTGCAACATGTCTAAAATATTATGTCTCCTTGTTTATTCAACTTTGGCCATTTGACGGAAAGAATTTATATAGGCTTTGCCTGTTATTCAATCCAATTGATTACGACATCTTGTCAATAAAATTTGATGAAATGAAATGAACCCTGTGACCAAGTTCGCAGAATTACACGGAAACAAAGCGTGACAGACAGACAGACAGACGGACAAACCCAAATTAATATCCCCTGTTTGGTGAAAGCGGGGGATAATAAAAGTATTGTAGGACTATCCATGGTCATCCACTGATAAACACAGATAAATGTCCAAAGTGTGCAGCAGTATTCGTTACTAAGGGTTTTGCATTCCTAAGAGCTACATTGTATGCTGTTGACATGAAGGCACACTTGCCACATTTCTCTACTTTGGAGGTAGACTCCATTTATTTCACTCTTATTTTTGACTTTTTGAAATCAGCAGAATTCAGTAAAAGTTTCTTTTATTCCAATCCAGTTCATTATTTTTACAGACCAGCAAAACACTTTTGAAATTTTACACTTTTGGTATGTCAAATAGAGCTTGAAGGCGTTTATAAAGTTTTGCTTCACAGTTCGGTCCATTGAAATGTTTTTGAAAATTCATCAAGTATGCAAAGATGAAGATTACAAATAAAGGTAAAAGTGGCCCACTTTCAGTATGAGACCTTCCACCATCCCCAGATAGGTCCCTGTATCAGCTCTAATGCTCCTAGAAGTTACATTGAGTACTGTTCTGAATATTTTGAACAGGATACACCAAAAGCATTAATTAAAGTGACAACCATCCACCATTCCAAAATGTACATGTGTCTTAATCAAGTCAGAAGTTTATTGATGACATTAGTAGCGTGTCCTGTGTTTAAGGAACTCACCATGTTCTGGCCTAGAACCATGCCAAACTCCCCATCCAGTTCATGTGACCTTGGGGTCACAGCCCGCATGGCCATTGTCCCACTCTGGAACTTTCTCTTGATCTAAAAAATACACTATGTTATGTTTATATGTATCTATATAATTACCATTAATCATTAATTAAAACACAACAGGTGTGAGAAAACAGATCTGCATGAGTTGCTTATCTGTTTGTTTGTTAACTATCTGAACTAGGAAATATGTTGTCTCCATCAGCTTGAGACTATGATGGTGGCAAACTTGATTTTTAGCTGCTCAAACAATCACAAAAGGCTCATGGGTCATAACAGTATCTTAGAAGTTTCTGTATATATTGAAACCTTATGTAACCTTTTCAGCTGAGGAAGTTTCTGCGAACAAGGTAACATTTTAAGTTGAAATAAAGATTGAAGTTTCTGCATATGTAGGTTTTTGTCTACAGTGTAACCTTATTAGTTAAGACATTTAGGTTTCTGTGTACTGTGTAACCTTATTGGTTGAGACATGTAGGTTTCTGTGTACTGTGTAATCTTATTGGTTGAGACATGTAAGTTTCTGTGTACACTGTAACCTTATTGGTTGAGACAAGTAGGTTTCTGTGTACAGTGTAACCCTATTGGTTGAGACATGTAGGTTTCTGTGTACAGTGTAACCTTATTTGAGACATGTAGGTTTCTGTGTGCAGTGTAACCTTAATTGAGACATGTAAGTTTCTGTGTACAGTGTAACCTTATTAGATGAGACATGTAGGTTTCTGTGTACAGTGTAACCTTATTAGTTGAGACATGTAGGTTTGCGCATACATTGTAACCTTATTATTTGAGACATGTACGTTTCTGTGTACATTGCAACCTTATTAGTTGAGACATGTAGGTTTCTGTGTACATGTAACCTTATTAGATGAGACATGTACATTTTTGTGACATTGAAACCTTACTAGATGAGACATGCAAGTTTCTGTGTACAGTGTAACCTTACTAGATGAGACATGCAAGTTTCCATGTACAGTGTAACCTTATTAGATGAGACATGTACATTTCTGTGTATGGTGTAACCTTATTTATTGAGACATGTAGGTTTCTGTGTACAGTGTAACCTTATTTGATGAGACATGAAGGTTTCCATGTACAGTGTATCCTCATTAGATGAGACATGAAGGTTTCCGTGTGCAGTGTAACCTTATTAGATGAGACATTATTAGTTGAGACATTTAGGTCTCTATGTACAGTGTTACCTTATTTGATGAGACAGGAAGGTTTCCATGTACAGTGTAACCTTATTAGATGAGACATGAAGGTTTCCGTAAACAGTGTAACCTTAATAGATGAGACACTATTAGTTGAGACATGTAGGCATCTGTGTACAGTGTGACCTAATTAGATGAGACATGTAGGTTTCTGTGTGCAGTGTAACCTTATTAGATGAGACATTATTAGTTGAGACATGTAGGCATCTGTGTACAGTGTAACCTTATTAGATGAGACATGAAAGTTTCCGTAAACAGTGTAACCTTATTAGATGAGACACTATTAGTTGAGACATGTAGGTTTTTGTGTACATGTAACCTTATTAGATGAGACATGTACATTTCTGTGTACGGTGTAACCTTATTAATTGAGACATGTAGGTTTCTGTGTACAGTGTAACCTTATTAGATGAGACATGAAGGTTTCCGTATATAGTGTAACCTTATTAGATCAGACATGAAGGTTTCCGTATATAGTGTAACCTTATTAGATGAGACGCTATTAGTTGAGACATGTAGGTTTTTGTGTACATGTACCCTTATTAGATGAGACATTATTAGTTGAGACATGTAGGTTTTTGTGTACATGTACCCTTATTAGATGAGACATGAAGGTTTCCATGTACAGTGTAACCTTATAAATTAAGACATGTAGGTTTCTGTGTCATTGTAACTTTATTAATTGAGACATGTATGTTTCTGTGACATTGTAACTTTATTAATTGAGACATGTATGTTTATGTGTACAGTGTACATTGTAACATAATTAATTGAGACATGTATGTTTATGTGACATTGTAACTTAATTAATTGAGACATGTAGGTTTCTGTGACATTGTAACTTTATTAATTGAGACATGTATGTGTATGTGTACAGTGTACATTGTAACTTTATTAATTGAGACATGTATGTTTATGTGTACAGTGTACATTGTAACTTTATTAATTGAGACATGTAGGTTTCTGTGACATTGTAACTTTATTAATTGAGACATGTAGGTTTATGTATAAAGTAGAACCTTATTAACATGGATTTTGAGGTATCTTTTAACAGTGAAACCTTTTAAATCAAGAGAGTTGAACATTTGAGACAAACTAGGAAAGGAATTAAACACTTTTATAGCAGGATATTTGTCATATTAACGCGAAGTGAGACATTAGAAATTATATCATCATATCTCTGTATCATCAATTTCTACACAATCATTTACCATTCAAACATGCCAAGTATCTGTGTTTTATTGTAGTCTGAAAATGTTTATAGTTACTTGTGTATAATAGCTAGGGCTATGTTGTCATGTGCCACAACTAATTTCACATGCAGCTAACATAGGTAAAAATAATATAGGCTAATACATATATTTATCAATGTTTTACAATATGCATTTCTTGAGGAGATTGAGTTTGAAATTCATTTTACTAAATATAAAATCTTTCAGCAGATTGTACCTCAGCCAAAAATGCATAAGGTTGTTTCTTTCCAAAGTCGGCCTTAGCTGCACACAGGAAAATGATACCATTGGCTACTTCACAGTGGAACATGTAACTGAAAACACGTCAAAATGAAAATCAAAAGTAACAGAAAACTGAAATCAAAATCAAAAGTATCAGAGAACTGAAAATAAATAAAATATCACCGTTAAAGTAGTGGGATGTACAACCCTGGTGACCAAATCACTTATCAGCATGTTCAATTTTACAACAGTGAATGTTAATGCTCCTGATTTTATCTGACCAACAGTTGAAATACGGAAACGTGTTAGTATTGTGAAATTAAGCATTTTGTTTGGAAATATGAAAACATTTCATGCAGTAATGAGAAACCAAACTGCAATAACAACAACATACAGAACGAGAACCAAACGTAAATGCTATCTCTAGGACATGCATACAGTGTATATACATATATAAAAAAGGAAATAAATTATTTGTGCAGTTAAAATAAAAGAGAGGAAAAACTTTGAAATGGGGAATATCTTTTCCAATATCAGGAATTTTCGTACACATTTTTCGGTATACAAAGCCAACTCCTTACCAATAATAAGGTTAAAATTGAGAAATTGTAGGAAAAGTGACAGATTCTTCACTAGACCTTACATAATTTGATTTCAGGGGCAGAGGATTTGTTCAAAATATGAACCTGAGGTTGTTGATGTACTTAACCCATGACCTTGACATTTGACCTTGACATTTGACCTTGAATTTCAATAGAGTTCATCTACTTGCCATGTTCTATTGTTAGAATGAGATTAGGTACAGAGCCTATGTACTATAGTGCCTATTAAGATGTTATTCATTTCACTCATGACCTTGATATTTGACATATCATTATGGCATTTAATTTCAATAAGGTTCATCCTCTTCTCATGGTCATTCATTGTTCAAAGTTTGATTGTGATCAGTCTCTATAACCCTATTGTATTTTGAGATTTGCGGCAGTATATATCCTAATTTTACTGTCCCAAATTGAGATTTACTGGTGACACAGTCACACACAGTTGACCACACAGAGCCGAGCCATTAAAACATATATTTGAGACAGAATAAACACTTCAAATTTCAAAATACAGTAGGTTTATACTCATTCTAAATCATCTAAGTAAAAAAAACAAAAAAACCCCAATGATTTTCAGATATTTTTGAGCAGTTATACGTTTTCTTTAAAATCTGGGTCATGATCATTCTGCCATGAATTGGTGACATCAGGAATATTCAAAGTAAGACAGAATGACATTTACCTTTCAGGCTCACACAATTGGTCAAGACATCAAAGTAGTTTGATTGGCCAATCAAATGCCATATTACATCTCAAATGAATTGTACTCTTGATCTCTTGTGAGGAGATACTGATAGAGAAATTATCTATTCCATCTTTGCGTATTGCAGAGTTACCTGCTCTTGTGAGCAGGTATTGATTGTTACGTCATTTGTTTGTGAGAGTAACGTCATCTATTTTGGAGAAAACGACATAATTTTCTCACACAAACCAATGACGTAGCAATCAATACCTGCTCACAAGAGAAGATAACTCTGCAATAAGCAAAGACGGAATAGACAAAGGATTGGATTTTGAGGACTTTCAACCCGACAGTTGAGTGTAGACCAAACGTTACACCCTAGTGCTCTACATTAGACTTGAAGTGCACTAGACCCTCCAAAAGGTTCCAAAACGTTTGCCAGTTATGCTGTAACCCATATTTTCCAACTAATTTACAAGTCTGTGGTGTCTGTGGTCTGTGGCCTGCCATAATACAGTGGTTATATACTGTAACTAAGTAGCCTTCTTTATAGGTACATATACAGGTGTACATATGTTTAAGCAGAAAAGGCAAACCATGGACATGTCTGATATACATGTCTCCACTATTGCAGCAGGTTTATACCGTGCTATTTACTTTTAATATGACTCTGTCAATTGCACAACATTTCAGCTGTTGTTAAAAATAATTCATTACATAATGTTTTAAGACAGAAAGTGTTGCTCACCTGTCAGAACTGTAGGTGGTCTTGCCATCGTTCCGTGTGGGGATGTTACGCAGTATGGACTCTGCAACAGTCTCAAAAGATCCTGCCCCGATCTGATGGCTACAAAGCACGATAGTGCCATTGGCCACACAACTGAACACGATTGTCATCTGTAGAGATAGTAGGAAAACGAAATTCTGGGTTATTCACTTTTTAATTTCATAATGGAAGAATTCGATATCTGTTAGAATGCAGTTGAATGTATCTGATGTTTTGTGGAATGTGCACACAATTTCTTTTGAAGTTTATATCAACAATGTTTAAGTACCAATATTAAAGAAAAATAGTTTTTTTCCAGAATTATTTAATATTTCACTTACTCTACAATCTTTTGAATTATTTACTAACGTTTATTATTTTAAATAAGGCACGACAGCGACATTATCATTCATGAAATAGTATTAATTTATATCATCATTTGTCTTTTACAGTACGGGATTCCCAGTAGTTTACCCTAGTTTCACTTTCGTTTTTCATTGATTTTGTACAGAAAGAAACAATTGCAAATATCTGTATTTAAAAATGCAATAGTAAACAATAATATCACGTTCAAAGACATAACATCTTCTTTGTAAGTGTCATGACAAGTATGTTCTCTACAGATAATATCGATCTGTCAACGTAATGTCACCGGTAATACGACAGCACTGTGTGACAACCACATACCCAGTCGTTTGTTTCACACACGTTTGTATTATGATCATTACCACTTTCCGCTCAAGCCTTAGAGCCTTAGATCGACACTAACCTTGTATCTAAGATCGATGAAGTGACGTTTGGATCACTTATACAACACCAGCTGAGTTTTATTTACAGGAAGAGGGCGTTAATATTGAACTATCGCACATTACTTCCGGCTAGACTTAAAAGCCAATCAAAATGCAAGACGAAAAGATTAGCTAAGCGGGAAAAATGGAAATGCTGATATGAACTCTAAAATTCTTTAATTAAGTTAGAGAATCCAGTTCATCTGCCCTGCAAGTAAGTCAGTTTTGTTTATGAGACGAATTTTAACAGATTTGTTGGAATTATAAATGTAATATTTTTAAAGTCGTTGTTATGTCATATAAAATGGTTCTGTTTAAACTTACAATCACATGAAATTTTGCAATTATAAATTTATCAAGCAATTAAATTCATTATTTAATCAGTGACCAATATGTTTATTGGGTTTTATTACATACTTACTAATAAATACGTTTTTTTTGTATATGCGATACGACACAATTGCTCTACCCCATATCAGCCCTCGCCGTATCACATCCCAAAACTCGTATCAGCCCGCAAAACCCATATCACACCCCTTTTGGATTTTTTTTCGTTTTTCAATATTTCAAAAATAAAAATAAATCATAAGATAGTAGTTTTTATTAGTAAGTATGTAATAAACAGAATAAAACCCGCCTTTTTCCATATCACACCAAGTATCAACCCTCGACCATATCAGCCCTCGGCCCTTGCGCTGATATTGCAGTCTCGGGTTGATACTGGGTGTGATATGAAAAAAGGCATGTATTATTCTCAATTTAATATACTGTAAAAACTGTGTACACTTGACCTCACATAAATCCATGAGGTGGTTTATGAAAACAAAATCCCCCAAAAACTTTTTGAATGTCTATATGTGAAGGGAGGTACCTGGTAATTATCGACGGATATTATTATAGAACTAAACACTGGATGTAATGTTCCAGACAATCTTTAGTATTAAAAAAATGAGCAATTACGACCCGTGAGTGAAGCATGTAACTCTGTATATGAAAGTCAATTTTACGAACAGATAGAAGCAATGGTTGCAAAGATATATAGGAAACTTACAATTTCAAGAAAATAAGTAAAATAATGAATGCAATTGGAAAAAGAATTTTATTGTATTTGCACCTGTAATTTTAGTTTGATGATGAAAATGGAATGGACATTTTTCTGTCTATTTTTCACTGTTAATGTGACTAGCTATGATTGGTTAGTTTCCATGGAAATAACAGATACTAAAATATTGACTTTATTTACATCATAAAACTTAAAATAACAGGTAACTCTTTATCAGCTGTTCTTTAAAGCAGGAATCCTAGGACTTATTAAAATGTCCTGTTTCATTGAAGCCACATGGTGATTCTGAGACCAGAGATGTGGTTGTGTTGACTCTGTAAAGAAATATCGACAGGGTTTGTACTAGATTGTTCAGAGCTCTAGGGGAGGATTGGCAGAGTGTATGAAGTTTTGTAATCTCTGCTACAGTTACCTCCCCTACACTACTATTTACTGCCCTAGTCCATGATCTATGTTACAGACTGTTTACTCAGCAGTGATCATTGAGTACACAGGTGGAGCGCTTCTTTTTAATGATAAGAATTAATGCAATAATTTCTTCACTGGTCATATGACTTACATTGATTTCCAAGGACATCAAAGAATGTAGCTTAAAGTTAGAAGGGTATTACATTTGTTTGAATTAGATAATAAGATTTAAAGCTTATCTGCACATAAAAAAGTGTAAACATCCTTAATTTGACGATTCACTGAAACAGCAGCAACTGTACACTAAAGTGAATAATGTGATCTGGAGAATCAGTAATACAACACCTCCTGTGCAGATATTTGTATGGCAGACATATGTAGCACAATGTATATAAGAAATACACTGTACTAAAACAGTATGTATTCACACTTTCTATCAAACCCATGCAAATGGATTGTTTTATGTCAAGATTACATAAACTATTGGTATAACATCATCAACAATATCCGAAAAATTATTCAAATGACAACACTATACTTTTGAGTATTACGCCATTAAAACAGTCCAAAGTGACGCCAGGAATTGGCTCTCCAGTCAACATTGGATACACTTTGTCAGTAGTACAAATAGGTCTCGTTCCGATGAGTGGTAAAGTGATTTCATTGACCTCTAGGTTAATACAGAAAAGAGTCACCTTTCTTCAGTCAAACTCCATTCAAATTTATTCAGTTGTAACGGGTGAAGTGGAGATTGTGAGTACCCTTGCTCAACACACATACATTTTACCCTGACGACCCTAATAAAGAGTGTTCACCAGGTATTAGCGGCTGTAAATATGCAAACATGTGCTGATATGATTCAAAAGAATCCATTTAATGCATAATTGAGAGTCATGCTCAACTTCAAAAATCTGTATAATGTCTAGGAGGAGCTACAACAAAAGAAAATTGACTTGAAAATGTTAAATTTCATGCTGTGTAACATAAACCGTGTCATAAAATATCCTGTTATATCAACGAATGATTACATTGACACAGGATTTTAAATAGAGGCTGACGAGCTTGTCGGTAATGCTATATCAACCTACTGGTCCTTATATAGAAACAAATTCTGTGCAGTTGTGGCTATTTACACAAACAGCTAACATATGATTTATTTTTATATAGTGATATCATTCTGTAACTACAAGTAAAGGGACAAGAAGGCATCAATAACAAAAAGTGTTCAGCTAACTGAATACACTTGATAACCCAATAGTCAGATAACAGACGACAAGACACTTGATAACCAAGTTGTCTGAAAGTACTGACTGGATACGATGAATGTAACAACCCCTTGTGTCAAATAACAGATACAGGATATATTCAGAAACACAGATTTAATTAGGCATTTGGTAATACAGTTGTCAGAAAACACAGACTTTATAAGACACTTGCTTATACAAATGTATAGTTGTCAGATAAAAACATTATAAGACACTTGCTTATATAAATGTATAGTTGTCAGATAAAAACTTTATAAGACACTTGGTTATACAAATGTATAGTTGTCAGATAAAAACTTTATAAGATGCTTCCAAATAGAACTGCAGTTGTCAGATATTACACTCTTATACTCAGACCTGACTAAACACTATAAAACCCAGCTGTGTAATATATCCAGATAAATAATAATAATAATATACAACATTTGATATAGCGCCCTATCTAGCTAACATAAGCCATTCTAAAGAGCTTTACAGTACATATATATACAATTAAAACAATTAGCATATACATTAATCAATACAATTTTGAGGAATTCGCAGGAGCTGCCTTATCAGGCGCTAACTACTAGTCCTATGCCACCTGGCTAATATCTCCCTGTGTGTGTATGCCTGTGTGTGTGCTGGAGATGTATTGAGTTCTGTTTTCGTAGTGGAACCGTGCTTCCAACGGCATCTTTTATAGTGCCACCTCACTTGAATGCTACAGCACAGATACCACAACATTCACCCCAGACCATTTTATACTCCACCTGGGTTGTTGAAGTTGTGTGGGCAGGAGAAAAAACACTTTCTCTGATATTCCATGCGTGCGACGACTTCGAGGATCGAACCCCAGCCGCCTGCGTGGAAGGTCGAAGTGTTAACCACTCGACCAATCCGCCCTTGGTAAATAACAGACTTTACCAGACACAAGATAACCCAGTTGTCAGATAGTTAAATAACAGACTTTGACAGACACAAGAAAACCCAGTTGTCAGACTTTACAAGACACAAGATAACCCAGTTGTCAGACCTAACCAGAAAGAAACTAACCCAGTTGACAAATAAATTAAATAACATACTTTACCAGACATCTGGGTAAAATAATCAAGTATCAGACAACATATACAATGTATACACTTCACAAGAAACAATAATGTAAAACATCTCAATAAAGTATATCTATAGGATGAGTTCAATTGTCACAAGGGACTTGATATATTCCACTGTCAAAAGCAATACTGTGTCTGTCTACTGGCCTGTGTGCTCATTTATTTACAACACTAGATAAAACATGTTTGTATTAACAAGCAATGGCGTAACCTCTTTTCCACCTCTTTTAAATATCAGTATGATTTTTCTCCTTATCCGTTTCCAATAAACATAAAAAACTAGAGCACCTTGCAAAAGCTTTGCTTTTTTACTCTTTGAACCTGATGTCTAGTCAAGCCCTGTAAAATTATATCTTATCGAATCATGGAAATTGAACGCTCGTTGTCCAACCCAGCTTGTCTCGACTTTTATGGCCATATTATTTGGCCCTGGTTGGGAATTTTGTGGAATGTCATGTGATTACGGTCGGTGAGAAAGTGGTGTAGACTGGGAGCGGGACTAGCGTGGCGACGTCGCCGGCAAGATAGCCGATGGCACCACAACAGTGCGCTGTCTGGGGAAGGCCGTCCTATTGATTATTATAGGTGCACTGGGAATCCACTTGCAGGGAACAGATGTGATAGGAGAGCTAATGAAAGTTAGCGCTGTAACAATGGCGTCACAACTTTAATTGAATGACTTTCTGATGGATGGTGAGGAAACACAAGTTACTTTGGAGATTTGCTGTCTTTTAAAGATTTATTTTGCTGTGAATAGGGTATTGTTATTGAACACTGCTAAATGAGGCATCCAATCACCCAGAGGCAGGATTACACACAAGCCTGTCTGTCCAATACAGTACTCCAAATCTAAAGCTTTTAGCAGCCAAATAGTTTTTGTATTAATTGAAATGGGGTCTTAATTTGTTTAAAATGTATTTCCTCATACCAACATTCTGATGGATGGTAATGGTCTCCATTTATTTAACATTTGATGCAGATTATGAAATCCCTTTTACTATATACTTTCTGAAACAAACTACTTTGTTATTGATGGACAATACTGATGATCCCCTAATAACATATCAACATCCCAAGTTGTCTTGAGTACACAGACAATCTCAATTGCAGTCAAAAGTTGTCTTGAGTACATAGACATTCTCAATTACAGTCAGAAGTTGTCTTGAGTACACAGATAATCTCAATTACAATCAGAGGTTGTCTTGAGTACACAGAAAATCTCAATTACAATCAGAAGTTGTCTTTAGTACA